CCCCCCCCCCCCACTGGAATTCTCTGGATGTTTATGGGTCAAGCCGTGTGTGACTTCCGAACTTTGGTTTTCGCTCGGAGTCGCTTTCCCACTGTCCCTCATTTCCCCTGAGGGCAGAGACAGGAAGTGCTATCCATTTGGAGAAGATAGGGATTTATTGCAGGGGGGGTGGTAAATCTGGGAGCAATAATAAAGTGTGTTTAATCGGGGAATGAATGCGTCTCACAACACCACCACAGGCTGAAATATTCGCCTTGTTGCAGCTACAGAGATGAAACTGTTTGTTTTGGTGTTAAAACCAACATGCTCTGAGTCCTGTGGCACTACTGACAGCTGCCTAAAGGGGGCGTTTGGGAGGACGTGGATCTTGCATGATGTTCTGATACAGTCTCCATGTCTCGCCTTAGGCTCTTCTGCCGTTCGCAGTGGTGGGCAGCATCGAGGAGGTGAAGGTTGGCAACAAAATGGTGAGAGCCAGGCAGTACCCATGGGGGGTGGTGCAGGGTAAGTACTCCTTGTCGACCTCTGTCTGTTTCCGTGGTGATTTTTTTTGTTCCCCTAATTTCGGCCGTGACCCCTCTCTCGCGCTCTGCTGTGGTCTCTCCCTGCTCTTACCGCTGCTGTCATCATCCTGGCTGTCTGCCGCACTCTGGTCCCAAGGGAAGCCGTGTTTTCTAAACGGCACCTGTACCCTGTCCGCTTAAAACCCCTGTTTCATCTGGAGTCGCCGTAGGGTCTCGGCCAGTGCCTGATAGAACTCGGGGGCGGAGTCTGGCACAGCGGGTTCGGACGCCGTGCCAGTAATAGAAAGGTCGCCAGTTCAAATCCCAGCAGTAATGATCAGTAATGATTTCATCGTCGAGCCTCTGAGCAAGGCCCTTAACACCCAGTTGTTCCAGGGATGGATTGACCCTGCCTTCTCAAAATGCAGGTCTCTTTCGATTTTAATAGCACCCACTAAACAAATATAATGTAAATGTAAAAATGGAACAGTGACTTCAGCGGTGGGGCGAAGGAGTGTAGGATGAATCTCTTTGCTGTCAGTCTCCTTTTCCTCCTTGCTCAGGTGGGGTCGCCTGTTATTGTTGCTGCTATTATTATTTTATGACTAAGGTGGTGCTTTTATAGAGCTGTTCAGACACCTTTTATATAAGAGTCACTTTCAGCTTTATATTTTGTCGACCAAAGTTTTGCTTGCTTTTTTTTTTTTTTCCCTCTTTCTTTCTATGTCTTTGCTAATATGCTACTGCGGCCTTGGTCTTGGAGCTGAAGCCTGCCGCTCGGCGTTATTCTGTACAGGCAGTACTGTAGACGGCCCAGCCTGTATCCGCTGGGGTAATTTGCATCCACAGATGTGTGGAAACCACTTCTGTTTTCCCTCCTGTTTCGTTTTAGCCGCGATCGATCGGCGGAGGGCCCGATCCGCGTCTGTAATTTGATGGACGTGCTTGTACGTCGGGGGAAATCCGAGCCCGGCCGGTAATCCTTCTGGAATGTGCTCCTGCCCCGATCCTGCAGATTCCAGCTCGAAATCACCCAGAGCTCTGACTCGAGAGCCGCGCGTTATACAAACAGTCCTGCCGGCTTGGATGGACCATGGGAACCAGGCTGCTTGTGAAACCTGGTGATGTCACCCTCTCTAATTCGGTCCTCCTCATGCCCTGTGCTTGATCAGAGAGTACTGTGGGAAAGAAAAGCATGCACATATATATTTCCCTTATCAGCAGGTGAGGCCTCCTGCAGGTAGCCTTGCTTATTCTGTGCTCTCTATGGGTCTCTCTTCCCTTTGAAAAACATTATGGACCATGTATGGAGTTCCTGATGGGTCTGTGAGGCAGAGAGGACCAAAGATGCTTTTCAGGACTATCCCCATGTGTCTGTCATGTTGAGCATGGCTTGCTGAATCTGCGCAGTTGAGCTGCTGTGGACCTGTCCCCTGCTTTGCGTGATTTTTACCTACCTGGTCATCTGCCCGGCTACCTAATTTTGCTAGTGTCTATTCCTGTGGCGTAATGCCTGGGATGACGACTAGGGGACTTGTTTTGTGGCCTTCCCCTCTTCCACATGGAATGGCCCACAGTTCCTGCGTTCGGCTGTCAGGCACAGCACAGCAAACCACCTCTTGATTCCCAGCGGGGGAGGTTACACCACATGACTCTTACGCAACGGTGGACGCTGCCTTTCCTGGAGGCATTCTGGGACCAAGCTGGTATTTTCGGTTTGCTGTGATTAAACATAGATCAAGGATTGTATCTTTTCCATTTCCTTGCATGCCTCTTGCATGTGTTTCAGTATATTATGCATGTCTGTCTTAGTGAATTATAAGAATCGTCGCTGGAAACATTTTCTTTATTTTTGGTTCCGTTTGGGCCTTGCGCAGTAAACTGAAATAGGTGTTAGGGTGTTGATGATTTTTTTCTAGTAGTACGTTGTGTCCTTTGTCTCTTCTTGCCAACCCCCAGTCTGCGGGGGTGGGCATTGTCACCCCATCGCACAGTCACCTGAATCAAAATTGTAGTTGATTGGCAAGTCCAGCATTGCAATGATCAGGAGCGTTTAATTGCAATTTAAGTGTTTTACCTGGCTAGCTAATTCTACACGGATGTAGCGGTTGTTTGTTTTGGTTAGTTTGACAGTAAACCACTGCATTCATTCAGTGAATCAGTGGTGTTGTGAGGTTATAATTGTTATCGATGCTGGCACTTTGTACCTTTGCATAAGCGTTTTGTTGGTACCTTATAGGTAGACAAAATAGTAGGTTATGTGTGCATCAGATACGTGCGCTAATACAGAATAAGCAAGATGCGGGTTTGCTCGCCTAAGTGTAAACATCAAACTCCGCCTACGGCTGGTTAATTTCCAGGAATAAACAGTATTGTTTTTTCAATTTCTTTTTACAATCTCTTCTTGGTCATTTGAGTTGAGTGGAGGAAGTCACAGGAGGAACTGTTCTTAGCTTTTGGTTGGACTTGGTGTGCAAACAGAAACTGCGGCTGCCATGCAAACGATTGGCATGGTCATGCTTGAAACGATGGCCCCTCCCCTCTCCGCTCCTCCCACAGGTAGAGATTGCCAATCAAATTACAGCACACACAGGGAAAGGAAACTAAATTAAGCCTGAGAAAGTAAAAACAGGGAAACTAGAATAGATGCCCAAATGTATAAGATGTGAAATAAACCTCCATCCATCCAATTTCTGTAATCACTTGTCATATTCAGGGTGTGTGAGGGGGGGATCCGGATTCCATGCGTGCAAGGCAGGGCACAATCCAGGATGGGGTGCCAACCCATCGCAGAGCACACTCACACGCCATTCACTCACACCTGCACACCTATGGGCAATTTGGTAACTCCAAATGACGTTCTTCCTCAGCATGATTTTGAACTGTGGAGGGAAACCGGAGTACCTGGAGGAAACCCCATGATGACACAGAACATGCAAACTCTACACACATGTCATGGTGGGGACTTGATCCCAGGTCCCAGTGCTAACCACTGTGCCACTCCTATAAAGCTAAGAGGGGAAAAATGAGGAAATGCAAAATAAGAATTGGAAAAATGAAATGATTTGGCTAAAGCACTCGGCAGATTTCACTGTGACACGCTCTTGATTTTAACCCCCCACCCGTGCTTGCTGACACATTGCTTATGGGTCACTTCCCCGGCACAATCAGCCCAGCGACTCTGGCCTGGGTTTTGCGTTGTTAGGCAGAGCTCCTCAAATAAGGCCCGTAGCACTTATTAGAGATTCTCGCTGATGCTCGATGCACATTCAGTGGTCAGCTTTGAATTATGATCCATTCCTGGGCTAGCGATATGCCGTACGATGGTTTCAACCAATGCCGGGCAATTGCCAGCATCCATGCGACCATGCTTCAGTCTGCGTAGCGATTGCGAGCGTAAACATCTCATACTGTGTTTAACAACATGTTGTTATGGTAGGGGGCCCTCGCTGAACTCCAACAGCCTGCGGGCTTCTACCCATATCAGGGTGCCTCTGCTGAGAAGTAACGAGGAAACCGTGGCGTCTGTTGCCCTCGGTAACGCCTGGCCAGATGCTGATGGGTTGCCGGCAGTGACGTTTCTCCTCCTGTGTATATGTGTGCTCTGGCAGTGGAGAACGAGAGCCACTGTGACTTCGTGAAGCTGCGTGAGATGCTGCTGCGCGTGAACATGGAGGACCTGCGGGAGCAGACGCACGCCCGCCACTACGAGCTGTACCGCCGCTGCAAGCTGGAGGAGATGGGCTTCAAGGACACGGACCCCGACAGCCAGCCTTTCAGGTCTGCTGGGACCCTGGTCTGGGTTTGATCCACATCTCCTGGTGCTTTTGATTAAAGGCCAATTCGCTCCCCTACCGAGGGTATACAGAAGGTCCTCTACACATAGGTACTGCACCTCGGGAATTTATGAAGAGGGTTTCCAGCTGCTCAAGTCTATTCGGCCATATACAAAGGATTTGTGACCCCTTATGTGAGGGAATCGTATAAAACCAAGGTTTGGAAACACCCACTTAGACCAAACAATGCCAGTAGCCATCAAAATGAAACCCACTGCGCAGCCGTAGTCGAGATGCAACTCTCAGCAACACCACCAACGTATTTGACACGTGCTATTGGTAGATAAGATCTATGTGGCTGTAGTTAAATTTGGTTAATTTCATCTCCCGTTTTCGCTTTACAGATATCGCAGTGTTGTCTGGCATTTCTTGTATGTGTAATGCGCAAACAAATGCTGTTTCGTTTCATTTGTTTGTTTTGAAATTATCATTGGGTGTGCTGGTCTGAGTAGAGAGGGCGTGTGACGGCCCACGTTTGCTGTCCGCAGCTTACAGGAGACGTACGAGGCCAAGAGGAAGGAGTTCCTAGGGGACCTTCAGCGCAAGGAGGAAGAGATGAGGCAGATGTTCGTCAATAAGGTGAAGGAAACAGAGGCAGAGCTGAAGGAGAAGGAGAGGGAGGTGAGAATGGGGCCGGTCTAACGGTGGGGGCAAGGTCACTTCGACGCCACATGAACCAGCCAATCAGATGCACAAACCATCACGAAGGCACGGATGTGATTGGTTCGACGTCGTGGGCCCGGTGGTCCGCTCCTGCTTTTTGCAGTTGCATGAAAAGTTCGAGCAGCTGAAGAGGATGCATCAGGAAGAGAAGAGGAAGGTGGAGGAAAAGAGGCGGGACCTCGAGGAGGAAATGAACGCCTTCAACAGGAAGAAGGTGGCCACTGAGACTCTGCAGGCCCAGTCTTTACAAGGATTACAGCAGTCGCTCAGGAAGGACAAAGACAGGAAGAAGTAAGTAAAGATATTTATCTGTTCAGTCTCTGTCATCCCCTCTCGCTGTCCTATCTGTGCCTTGCTCTCCATCTGTGCCGGGGACTTTTGCATCCTTCTTCCCTTCACTGTAATGAGAATGTTGCTCATACATTAAGAAAAGGACCAAGATTAGCGATGCACCATATTTTCTACGAAGTGTGCTAAATGTTCAGTTTAAAATCAGAACCACATGTAAGATATAACTGTGATTCCTCGCCTTTCCCCGCCATCAAATTCCCCTTGAGAACTAAACAATGGTTTGATTTTTAGATGTGAATTCTGGGATCCTGTGCTGTGTCATGACCAAAGCTCTAGTGTTGGTCTCTATTCAAAATATTTTAACAGAGCACAAATTTTGACACACGACACAAAGTATATCTGAAAATATGTTGATAGAGATGTAACTATATATTACGTAAATGTCTTGATATGCCATGAACATTCTAGAAACCGCCCAGCCCCTGTGTTTCCATTACCTCCCACAGTCCAGGGACATGCTTTTCTACTGCATGCCGCTCTCATTTTACTGAAGGTTTAGAAATAATCGACGGGCCCTACCAATTAATTAGAAATACCTGATTTGATGCCCTGAAACAGAGTTCCCCAGTCTGGTCCTGGAGGGCCAGTCCGTGACATGGTTTGCAGATTTCCCTGCTCAGACACACCTACTAAACCTGGCAATTGGTTGGTGAGCTGAATGTGTTTGAACAGGGAAAATCCTCAAACTGTCTTACAGACTGGCTCTTCAGGACCGGACTGGGGAACCCTGCCCTAAAATAAAAGCAAGTGTTTTTCAGCCAGTTTTCTGGAATACGTAGATCTGTGGTGCCATCTATAGGGAGTGTAGGGAAAAGGCATGACTTATCCATAAAAGATTATGCTTTGTAAAGTGTTTCACTTAATCTTCTCCATTCATTTTATCCTCCATGTATAAACTCTGACATCACTAATGTATAACGTTAATTCTTCTATGACTATTTTTCGAACAATTTTTGATTGAAAGTTCTAACTCCATCAGTGCTTTCGTTTCCTTCATTTATTTTTGTTATATTTTGTCATTTTTCTTTCTTTCAGTTAATTTATGGCCTCCACATCCCAGACTGGTCACGGATTTGACTTTCATCACTATAGCAACGTGAACATTTTTGTGTGTTTTTTTATTTTTTGACATTCTTTCATGACACCATGTAAGTGGACCAAAGACGGTGATGGCAAGTATGAGGGACAGTGTGTGACTGGTGCATTGTGGGTACTGACGGGTGGGTAGAATTGCCACTTAAGATCAGTCATGTTTTCATTTACTTTGAACCTTTTTTTTTTTTTACGTCATGGAAACCTGTTTGTACGTGGCTCACGAACGCAAAATAGCGGACTACGGATTTTAGATTCTTGGTACTTCATCTTTTTGGCAACTTTCTCCTCAAAGACGTTTTGTGGACCGACGACGTACTATGCATAGTAAAAGACTAAATGTAGTGTCTGACAGGCTGCTTTTTTCAAAATGGGGCTAGACCAATCCTTAACACGAATTGTACATTCCTGCTAGTTACCTATCCATTAAACATTAACCAGGTGCTGGTTTTATATTAATCAAGGAGTATCAATGTATATATAAAGACCTATCTTTACTCTAGAAATAATTTTCTTACTTTTTCAGCACAAAGCATCAGTGTACAATGTTATATTTTAAGCAATGTTTATCACAGGGTGCATAAAACGGACACTTAACAGCACTAGTGCTACAGGCAGTGGCCGACGACAGCGGTCTAGTCGGCCGGTGGGCTTTCCGGGTATATAAACTGTAAAAGAGGAGCGATGAGTTGTACTCATTTTCATTGAAAATAAAGTTAAAACCTCACCTTTTGTAAGTGGTCGCAATGTGCCTGCTTTTAAGACTTTCTCTGCCCCAGGGATTGCGGAGTTTGCCGTGACAACGAGGCCTGTTTGGCCGAAATTGCAGTCTGGTCGTCTTTAAAGCACCCTCTTCCCACGTTCTGTGCCAATCGGAACCTCGGAGCTTGTCACGTGACTTGGGTGAATGAAACGGAATGTCTCGGGTCATGTGGTCGTTCCGCCGGCTTTTTTGCGGTCGCGCGGCCGTGGTATGTGAGCATGTGAGGCAGGACTGCCAGGGATGGGTGGTGGTTTGGTATGTGTCATACTGGTGCCGGGCCCTGGGGGAGAATGACGGCTATGCTCGATACTTTTAGGCGATATGAGGTGGTAAGTTGTGTTTGTTCTACGTGCAACTTGCAGTCTATAAGGTGATGCCGTACCTTTAATCCTGCGCTGGCCAGGTGCAAAGTGGTTTGTGTTTCTAGGTGAGTATGCATGGGCTACTATCCCAAATGTTGAATTTCTGTTTATAGTTTGGAGCATTTAACTAATGTCAGTCCATGGCTGGAATCTATTAACTAATTTGTAATTGACTTCAGGATGTTTTCTGGCATTTGAATTTGACTCCAGAATGTCCCAGGAAGTCGAAGAGAAGTGACAGGAAGTGGAATTAAAATTCCACAAACGAATTTCACTCTTCAAGGGTGGCGGAACCTTGACCAGTTGTCAATTCTACATTTCAAACTTGTAGTCAAAATGAATATCAAAACCATATCGATCACCACATATAAGATCTATAGCCCGTACAAACAAAATTCTATCAATTCTATAATTAAAAACTGTTAGCACAGTAGGCGGAAGTTCTGCTGCTGTAGAGGCCAATTTAATGTGCCATACCTTTTATCTATAGCACCATTTTATTCATTTCCCCAGTATACCAAATGGTTGGTTTCCTGTAACTGGTGTATGCATGTAATTTTTGTTTGATCGCACGACGCAAATGGAACAGTATCGCATTAAGCGTTTAATGTTTAGAGATAACCAGCATTTCAGCGTGAATCTGCTATTTGATTCGCTGCTTAAGCATAAACCTGATTGTATTGGACATAAACAATATGCGCATTCAAGTGCCGAAAATATCTGCAACATTTAGTGTCAAAAGGCAGCAGCAGAGCTGCCAGCTCTCGCGCATCCGGCGTGACTCTCACGCGAGGAATCTTACGGCAAGTCTAAATTATTCAATTATATACCTAATTAGCCACATCAGAAACACTGAGGTAGCTCGCAAGCCCTACGCATAATTTACAAGGTAATAAATCTCCCACGCGCATGTAAATGCGTGTGCATGTGTGCGCAGACTTGTATCGAGCTGAAATCTCACGCCAGCCAGCTGACCGAAGCTGGCAACCCTGCGGTTATGCTTCTGCTCAACCAAGCGGCTATAAATATGGTGGGAATAAAATGCGCGACCCTTATTGTCATATAAATACACGCATTCAAGCATTCAGCCGCGAAGTTAATCCTTTATAGCACTTTCTTTGACAGTGAGTTTTACATAATTTTTGCCGATGCCGCTCAACTAGAGGGAAAACCAGTTATATTTGTGTAGGCAATGTGATGTATATGTGGTGCTGGTTTAGCGGAAGTTGGTGTCCGGTCTGCTTACGCCGCTGTCACGGAATGATTTATTTTCAGCCTGTTCTCCGTATAGTCTGCGAATTGCATACATCGCAATCCTACTTCTGATTTGATTGTTTAGACGTTGTATTGAATTAAAATAATGTGGAAATGCCATCATTTTTTTCCTCAGGGACTTTATTGTTTTAAAAGTACTTATTACTTTACAAAAATGCTAAAGTGCAGGAGATTTTTGGGGTTTGTCTGCATTAGGGAATTACTTGGCTTCTGTTACGCGAGTTCGATCTGGATTCCATTCAGCTTGTAGCTTAAGTTGTAGTTAAAAAGAATTAAAAGAAAAAAGGTTGAATCAAGTATCTGTCCAAAAGACGGCTTTGATTCAGCAAAACTGGCACATAGACACCATAAACTCACAAAATACAAAATCATAAGCACATTGGCCAACCCCTTAGGGTTTGGAGTGAGAGAAAATGCCCCATCGCAAATATTTCTTATTGAAATATAGTTTGCTGAATATGGGTTTGGACACATCTGTCCACTTTTTATAAAAAGTAACTTCACAGGCTATAATGACAGGTGAGTTTGGTTAATGAGTTGAGACCTTTGCAAACGTTAGCTGCCTTGTACTGAAACATTCACAAGTTCTTCGACTTATTACAGTATAAAAAGGAAGTACACTATCGTTATACAATAAAAGGACATGAAATATAGGTATTGCGTAATGCTCTACGGATGAGGCCATTGGGAAAAACATGACCTCCCAAGCAAATCTGAACGGCGTAATTCCTACAAATGTCAACAACCGAATTATTTTGCTGACCACGTAACAACCAACGAAGATCATTTTAAAGGTAAAAGGTGCCACGTAAAAAATATTAACATGCGAAGAAGATAAAATTAAAGCTTTGTATAAAATAAAGCGACAGTATTGTGGTTAATAAATATTGCATGATAAAGACAGGAATCTCCTTTTTTTAAAAAAAAGCTTATGCGCAGATGCAGTATTTATGAGAGCAAAGTTCGTAATCTCATTATCACTTCCAGTGTCTCTGCTCAGCTTAGCTGACGGGGGGCTGGAGAGGGGGACACGGCGTGTAGCTTCCTGGGGGGTCACCCCCGATGTCCGCCGGCACCACCCCCTGGTCGTACAGGCACCCGAACCCGTCGTAGTACTCGGCCGCGTCCTTCTCCTTCCTCTGAGCTTGGCTCCGCCTCCTGCGACCCGCGTGGCTCACTCGCCCCCAGGCGCCCCCTGGTGCCAACTCTGGGTGCCCACGGGCTACACTGCCACCGTCGAAAATGTACAGCGCGTTGGGCGGGAACGTCAGCTCCTGGCCCGAGAGGAGCTCGTCCGCCGTTTCCTTACAGCGGATCAGCTCCACACTTTCGACCTGGAGGGTTGGATACGTGGAAGAAAGTGGGGAAAAAAATAAGAACGGGGTGGGGGGAGTACACCGTTCCATTTTTCTCTTAAGCCACATCCTCATTAAGTTTTTTAGCAGGTGTTTAGAAAAATAATGTACATTTTGAGAAACAGTCAACCAGTCTCTGGAGCAATTGGGGATTAAGGGCCTTGCTCGGTGGGGTGGGGTGGGGTGGGGGGGCGACAGTGAAACTACGGAGTCGATTTCAGGATTTGAACCAACACCCTTCCGATCACAGACCGCATCCTAACCCACTGAGCAGGTTAAAAAGAAAGCGAGCATGCAAACGTACAGACTCCTTACACTGTAAGTAAAAGCTGTGCGTTCTCCGTAAGCAGACTGGCTATTCCGCATCGCGGTTCTGTAGCTTTCCGACGGCGCTGTACCACCTACCTGTGCTTTCTTCAGCAGGTCTGTAAAGACCGAGAACCAATCGGGTGCCGCTCTCTCCAGCTCCAAGGTGATGATCGCTAGGGCCAGCGTGGAGCCCTTGAACTGCGACAGTTGGTGGCAGGCCATGCAGTGTTGCACCTGTCTGATCCAGAGCGCCGTGTGGAAGAAGGGCTCTCTCTGATGGCGGCGCTGAGGTAGGCGCGGCTGTCCGGATGTCACCAGGGCGTGGAACTGCGGCCGTCGCCAAGGGAGACCAGAACACAGGGATCTGTCAGCTGACCGCCCCACCTCGATGACCCAGCATTCCCTCCTACTAGCGGTGGACTCTCCATTCCCCCGCCCCCCCTTTCCTGGCAGGGGTGTCTACCCTTCCTCGCTACCATGCGTGCGCCGTGCTTGTCCGTCCCGACGAACTAAAGGACCGTCCAACCTGTCACGTTGATCGCCGGTTCTGTCCGTGTTTCTGTATCTGCCAGTACCCGTTTCTGCCCCCAACCCGAGTGTCTTTTCTGTCAGAATTGTTTACTCCGGATTGAGAACTGTTTGTTTGTGCAATTTTTAGCAAATAAGCCATAGCTACAGGATTCGAGGATACGACCCCTACGATTATACAGTGAATTGTACATGTTGATGGAGTAGCAGAGTATTTACTGAGAATTTATTTTTAGCAAGATTTAATACACAATATTTAGGTCAGTATTGAACTGGGAAAGACAAATTACAAACTTTGCAAGTAAAATTTTAAAAGCAGCCAAGATCATCCAGGCTAACTTTAATATCTAAAACAGTTTCCCCTAGATCAGTAGTATTAGATTATATTTTATACATATTTTGTGCCCCAGAACAGACATTTTTTTTTAAAGAACAACTATGGTAGTCCTTTTCAAAAACTGGATTCAGTTCAATTTTTCATACAAATATATCACATCTACGGCCCTCTCTGGAGCATGTTGAATGGTTGTAGGGAAGGTAACAGTGGAAGGCAGAAATATCGCTCACAAATTGTTTGAATACGTCAACAGGTGGAATTGATAAAAGGTGAACTTCAGTTTTTACTTACTATTAAAAAGTTCAAACGATACCATTTAGAATTTTTAAATTCCTAAAGCTTTATTTTCTTATTTAGATGTTGCAGGCATCGAATACAGAGATTATTATTTTTTCCTTTCTAAATAACTTTTTGTCCTCGTGCGGTTAGTCTTTGTAATTACAGGTCTCAATTGAAGGTGCCTTGGCCAATTCGAGTATTTCACAACTGCACAGAGTAAGAGCACAGAGCAGTAACTTGCGACGGACCATTTACAATTCGCGGTGCCATATTTTAATGCAGTGCATCCAACCAAGAACGTGTTTGTAGCTGTGCTCCCGAAGAAACACAAAGTGTTATACATTCCAGTGTACGTTTTTTGCTCTTTCGGTTCAAAGGGGGAAAACGGAGATGATCCCTTACGATATGAATGAAGTCGATCGCTGTTGCGGTGTTTAGGTCCCAGTGAAGCTTGTCCAGTATAATCCTCTCCATGCGAACAATCTCTGCTGTTGAAAAGTTGCATCCACTCTGATTCACGAAGTCCTTTACTGACGCAATCACCTGGTCCAACAGGCGAAAAAAAAAAACACCCAATAAATACTGATTTTCTTAAATGAACATCTTGTACTGTTTTTTATAATCAGAAATGTGCTCATTTGGATTGAAGAAACGATTCTTGTTTATACTTTGAACTTAAAGTTAAGTGTCTAGAAATTGAAAATAACATACAAATCTTTTAAATGGTACTTTGAGACAAAAACCTACCTCATCTTCTTCGTTGATTTTTTCAGCAAGAATTAGTGATGTTATGGCAATACACCTAAGATATTTTTGCTGTGCCTGTAAAAAAGGAAAGATTTGTGAGGGTTAATTTGGAATTTAATTGTGAGGTTCTTAAGTAACCAAGCTAAATAAAGTCTCACCTTCACTGATGCCAAAAGTCTGTTGAAAATGCTCACCCCAAGGGCAAATGTTTCTGGGCAGAATTTAAACAGCTGGCTCAATTCGTCCATCCACAAAATGGCATCCTGGTGTTGGAAAGAGGATATGTCCGTGCCCTGCAACGCACAAACAAGCATGGAAATTAGCATGCAGGTTGCTTGCAAACATCTATATGCGAAACTATTTGTCTTCCGTTCATTCTTGACGGCAGAAGACAGAAACCTGAATGCGGTGGTTTTTAAAAACCGGCGCCTTCCACAGACGCCGCTCCCGGGCGAGCGCGTCTTCGAGCAACGCCGCCAGGCGGCGACACTCTGCACTTTCTGGGTACTTCATCGGTACCTTCGGGCAAGCCAGATTTTCCCGGGGTCACGGGCTCCTGCAGAGACACAAAATGTCGGTCACCCTCCACCCTGAAAACGTTATTTTAATAAACAAACCAGTAGATATGCTGATAAGATCAGCCTCGGGTCTCGTAGCATTTAAATAACATTGCATGCTAGGATGTATATCATTGCGTGTAGGCCTATATAAATACGGATATGGACTGTTACGAAAATGCTTTAATAGCCGTTAACACTTTCACACTATATAACGCATATGAGCGCTTTAAAAAGTTAACAGTGCTAAAGTTCTCTGTAAACAGGTCGTGTACATAGCTGTAAAATTGTTACTGTATCTAAAATTGCAGTCAAGCATGCAGCAATTAGATGATGTCTCAGAAATCCTCTACATTTCACGACTTTAGCCCATATATTGTAGCCACGGACTGCCCTAGCTTATCAGGGTTTTGTGCATCTGTTTGTCATGCCTGGGTCATCTGTCGTCAATGATCGCTATTCTTCCAACTAAAGTAAGTAAATCGGACCACCCCGATGCTGATGTCCCTCAAACATTTTGTAATAACGTCCCAGAAATCACTTGGAATGCTTAATAACGTCATCCACTACTTAATTATTTGAAATAACAGATTTAAAATTCAAAAAAACCTTAAATATATTGTGCTTTTACTGCATCGCGTACGGTAGTAGGGGGAGATTATGGTGAACTGCAACAACAAAGGGGAAATGTAACAAAACATCAGTATTACATATATGCCTTTACAATGCCCCAAGTATCATAATGCAGAAAAACAGTGGGAAAATTGTCATCGGTAAGATGAGTAACTATTTTTCGACGCTTATTAAATAGGTAGCTCAATTTTAGATTCCTAAACTTTTGAAATGTTTAAGCATATAAATACAGAACTTGGTGTTTGAATTAGAAGTTGCATGTATCTGTATACATAAACACTGAACCGATCCTGTATTTCCTACATATAGACCGCCTTCCGCAACAATGTTGCAAAGAGCCAGAAAGTAGCAGGTCTGCCAGACGCTGTGGGCTGGACAGCCCGTTAGCTACCAAAACACAAAGCCAAATGTTACTTTACTTTATTTTCCATGAGAGATCGGGCTTACCTCCGCGCACGAAAACAACAGAGACCCTCCCGCCCTGAGCGCCGCATTTAAGTTCAGATATTCATCCCTGCCATGGTGAAAAAAAGCGGGTCGCGTTTAAACTTTATAAAAAAAAGCAAATACTACTCAGTCGCTGTTTCAAGACTGCAGAAATGCAATACGGGCGCATCATAAATCCCGCCGAAATAGTCAAGTGTGCAGCAGTAAATCGAATCGAGGCCGAGAGACGAGCAAGCAAAACAGAGACGGGGGGCAGGATGTTACATTTGCACGGCATAATGATCCTGTTTGAACGGCTGCGGCTCCGCCTCCCGCGCCGCGTCGTCAGGGTGGCCGCTACGCCGGGTACGTGCGCCTCCGCCCCGCGCACAAAGCGCACCTACAATCAAGGGGAAATATTTCTGAAATAGTCCTCTCAGTGACTTCGCTATTTACAATTGTACATATTATAATCGTGTAGAGGATTAATACATAATTTTAATGTATAATTTAAATGTGAAGTATTTAGTTATTTAGTAATTATTCTTAATTTAGTAATTATCTATCTAATTTTATTTTTTTGTATTTATTGCTAAAATATTGCACAACTCTGTTTTTGATTTCGCTTGTTTTTTCCCCCGCTTTTTAGATCCAGTATCAGTTTTCAGCGCACAAATGTGCCAGTTGTTTTCTAGGGAACGGGTTGCATAACAGCCTGTATAAAAAAACGGTATTTTGGCATTTGGTTGAGCGGTTTGGTTTTCATTTGCTAGCTGGAGGGCTTGTTTCGCAGATTTCCTTTGTATTCGATGGCGCGCTCCCATAAAAGAGACAGAGGCAACTGGAACATTATCGTTTAAAAGCTGTAATTACCACACAGCAAGCAGCGTGTGGGATCCTGTCATTTCCTGACACTTCTGGCTGAAGACCTCATTGTGGTATTTTCATCAGATCTGTTGTCACGCCCATAATAGAAATATCGCTTAAAAAACCGGACGATCTGAATGTGTCACGTGGCATGTAGCATTGCGTCCCCCCCGGCGGTTGTACCTTGTGAGATGGCCAATTAAAATACCCAGATGCACAAATGGATAAGATCCACAACACGCTTCCGATTAGATAGCAAGCCAGACATACTTAACATGCGTCCAAACTAAAATTTTTTTAGCAATGTTTACAATTCCACCAAGAAATCAGCCATAAATGTATATACCTTACACATATTATTAGTAAATATATACGACAGTCCGGTTCAGATTCTCAGATGATTTGGTCGGGGCCGCGGTGCGTTGCGTTGCGTTGTGCATAGTTCTGCTATGCTTCCTTATTTACATGGCCTCCTGCAAGTCATTGCATGAAAAATATGCTGAAATATCACTGGTTCTGCCATAGCACATGAACTCTTCATTAGGAATTTGACATAAACACGAGACATGAGCTCATTACCAGTATGCTGGAGTGGGACCAGTGAAATGTGACTTTGTTAGTGAGGCTGGCTGTCACTGGTCAAAGAACAAGTCACTGGTTCTAAGAGGCGTCTAGCTTAGCGGGTTAGGAGATTGTGTCTGTAATCAGAAGGTTGTCGGTTTAAGTGCCTGGGTCAGTAGATGGGTTTCAGTGTTGGGTGTGGCGCTGGGTTTAAAAATTGTCCCTGGACTTTGGGATCCCCTGTGATGAATTTAACCGACGGTGGGGGTCCTCCACAATACACCCACATACCCACTGGTCCACCAGAAAAATGTCTGGTATGTCAAATGGCGGTATAGCCTTGCAGTTGGGGTATCCTAAGCAAGACCCTTAAACTCCCAATTGCTGGCTGACTCTGCTTTCTTGAACATATATGTCACTTTGGATAAAAGTGTCTACTAAATGTAAACAAAAAAAAGTACAGTTTCAGGAAGAACGGGACTTCAGCACAAGTTCTGGCAAAGGTCAATCAAATCGAGACATGAATGCGTCACAGTGTAAGATGGTGAAGGCATTTCCTTCCTAATTATCTGTGTTTGGAGGGAAAGATCTTTTAATATAATGAAGGTAAAGCTATACTTTATTAATTCCTCTACAGAGGGTTTATTCAAGGCAAAGTGGTTTAACTGATGGGTAAACCCTGGGCTTAATGGTTGGGGAAGCGCCCTTGTAATTGAAAGATTACAGGTTTGAATCCTCGACCGGTGAGGTACCCTGAGCAAGGTACCGCCCCCAAGCACTGCTCCCCGGGCGCTGAATTAGCTGTCCCCTGCTATGTCATGATGTCACATTTCATTGTTGTGCACTGTCTGCTGTGGTGAGTCAGCAATGGCCACTGATCACCTAATTCTAATATACACTACATAGAGAAAAGTACTGGGGCACCAGCCTGTCCCACATCTCACTCTGAATCAAGGGGTTTTAATGTGAAGCTGGTTAACCCTTAGCTGCTGTAATAACCTCTGATCTTCTGGGAAGGCTTTCCATTAGATGTTGGACATCGCTGGAGGGATCTGCTGCCATTCGAGTTGGGTATCGATGTTGGGTGATCAGGTTCCTCTCTGTGAGCTTGTGCAGCTGAACCTGCTCTCAGATGGTTCCACTTCACTTGCGGTTGACCAGGGCAGCTCTAGCAGGACAGACATTTGGAGAACCGACTTGTTGGAAAGATGGTGTCTAGTGAGGGTGTGGGGTTGACTAACCTCTTCTGTATGACCCCCCCATTCTGCCCCCATTGTTTGATGCTGGCTGAAGACCACATCTTTGCTCCCTCCTCACTGTTCTAAGGTGCCAGAATAGCACAGCAGGTCAGCTGTTCTCCACTTTATTTGTAGATGGGGTAGCTGAACCAACTGTGGTTGATGGATTTGCACAGGAGTGCATCGTTATTGGAGAAAGGCAGCTACAGCGCCTCACAGTGCATTTGTGAAATGCGATTACAGGAGAAAAAATCCATCTATGTTTACATACATAATCAAATACTTATTGCAATACTCAACAAGGCATTTTAAGTAGAACTGTCACCATTCGCTACCCACAACTAAAGAGCAGATTTCCAAAGTTCAACCAGTCCATGCGAT